AACCCAGCTGGCCCTGGCTGATGTGCGCCACACGCTTGGGACTCCTCTTGAAGAAGTAGAAGAAGGAGACATCTTTGGTGTTCTGCTGTAACGTGCTACGACCATAGTCTTTTGAGATGTGGGCACAGGTTCGCCCTTTAATAAATACGTTTTATTACACCCCAGTCTTTCAACATCGTTACAATATGTACACTAAGTGACATATTATACGAGAGACATGTCATGGCTCCTCAAGTTTCGATTTGATTGATTAATATGTGGGATTCAACGTCCCAAAACCACCATATGATTATGAGAGCCGCCGTAGTGGAGGGCTCCGGAAATTTTGACCACCTGAGGTTCTTTAACGTGCACCCAATTCTGAGCACACGGGCCTACAACATTTCTGCCTCCATTGGAAATGCAGCCGCAGCAGCCGGGATTCAATCCCGCGACCTGCGGGTCAGCAGCCGAGTACCTTAGCCACTAGACCAACGCGGCAGGGCTCCTCATGCTTCAAAATATTAGGTATGTTGGGTCACAAAGCACAAACGACATTTGATATCTCTCTTGGACAAATATATCCCCCCGTCCAAAAGTCACGTTACCTGTTCTCACCTCTCTTCTGCGCCCCAAGCTTGTCCAAGTCCTCACGTGCTATTAGGTCATTTGAGTGCACACCGCCCAATGCGGGGCTCTGCTTCGATAAAGACCCTTCGCCGGGACATCGCTGGTTTTGGACTAAATTCAAGTCTGATTACGACCAACCATGGGTCTCTCACGTGCGAGTGGGAAATTCGAATGCGTGACATTAAATTTCGGGTCCAGGTTCAATGAACACCCATGCCAGAGAAATGGCTGATTTTTGGCTTAACTGGGGACTGATTACGATCAGCAATGGATCTCCCAGATTGCTTCACGGCACGTCATTCATCAGCTATGTGGACGTTTGTTTTGTATAGAGTTCTGTTGTCGACCACATCTCTGTGTGTAGATGTTGAAGTGCCCGAAAATAACCACCTCCGGACGTATATGTAATAGAACAGATTCCATATTAATCAGAACTGACCGACAACGATGCCAAAAAATGATAGGGGATTGTATTAGAAGGAATTGTAGATAAGATGTGAAGAAAGAAAAGTGGACGAGAAGATAACTTGCCACTGGCAGGGACCGAACCTACAACCTTCGAATTACGCACCCGATGCTCTACTACTTAGCTACGGTGGTGGTCATTCCTCCGTCCACTATTAAGGATATATATAAGCATTTATACGCGGGACCATCAGTTCTCATTATTATTGTGTTGTCTATTTATGCCTTATTGCAGTTTAAACATGATACTATTCCTTGTTCTATTATACGTAAACCTATTTTCATGACACTTTTCTGCCACTTTGCTGCAATGTTTGTCTTCTTTGTCTACTTTAAGTTTGACCTCCAGCTTCTTTCGAATCTATCCAATAAAACCCTGCCCCTATAGTGAACTATAGAACTAACATCAAGTTCACTATACCTGCCCTTACCGTATATGATTGTTGGTAAACAGCGAGCGTAATCACAAGGTGCAGGCGACCTGAGGCAGCTAGTGAAAGAGCACGACAACGCTGAAAGAGAGACTTCCGCGAGTTTCGCCTGTGTGCCGTTATAGCCTTTGTGACATGTGGATTATTTGTCTGAGTAAATTATTCTTTTTATTGAAATGTCTCTTGTGCTTCATGAACGCAGCAAAAACAACATTACAAAAGTGGGATTCGAAGCCACGCCCAGACTTAGACATCTTAAGAATACGACAGCCTTGTAGTTCTAGACAAGAAGAACGATGACGAAGCACTTGCTGATCATCTAAAACTATGTACACAAACTTTTATTGAAAAATTTAATACATCAAATCTGAGCAAAAGATCTCAGCAGAAGCAGCCAAGCACAGGGCAACGTTTCAAGACTCAAAGCTTTGTTAATGTCTCAGAAAGGATATCTTTGATGAGTGAGCGAGTGAAACAATTTTATGGTCAATCTGGCATAAAGCGGGAAGAAGTAGGGGAAATGAAGCAAGACTCTAGCGCGGCCAGACATTGATTTGGAGTCAGACGCGCTACCGTTGCGCCACCGGGTCACGACGTGGCCAGACATCCTGGAGCAGCAATCTACTTGCGTCAAACCCGTGGGGTGCCGCTTTCAGCCGCCAGCGTTCCAGAATTTCAACCACGTGCTGGACCACGTCTCTTTGGTTGCTGGCTCTTGGCAGCTGAAATTTGACAAAAAATCGTAACATATCCATGGAGGGCATGATGATGAGTGGGGCGAAGCGTCCGTCCGTCCGTTTGTTTTTGCCTCCGTCCGTCTGTGTGAGCATCCATACGTCCATTCGTTCATCCATGCTTCTGTCTGTGCATCCGTTCATGCATTCATCCGTGCGTCCGTCCATTCATGCGTTCATCCATCCACGCGCCTGTCTGTCTGTCTGTCCGTCCGTCCATCTAGCGAACACTCCAAGTACCGCCATCTCGCATCTTTTCATGATATATTCAACATATACAAGTAACGTCATCAAGCGGACATTCCAAGGAATAAGTGAGGCGTGGCACTCACGCACTTTCGAACAGCCTGCGCTTCGTGTCTACTTCCCACCTTTCTCCACCTCTAGTTCATGACTATATATTAGTTAACTACTTTCATGGTTCGGTGGCCCGATTGTCGCTAAACCTTGGGGAAAACAAAGGAGGTTACGCCTAGCGAACTTAGCGTGGCAACCATTTTTGGTCAAATAGTGCTCAAAGTACGTCCTTCTCGATAATAGTTCTCTTTAGTAAGCATCAAATTCAAGGCAAATTTTATTGAAGATTAAGTCAGCAATACTCGTCTCTGTAAGAGATTTCATCAGAAACAACTATCTGTATATTCATGATTAACGTGCGCGTTTTTTCTTCTCAATTATAAAAAGGTGCGCGAGTGCCGCTTCTCTAGTCCGGCCATGGAGGTGTCTACCTACTACTACGACGATTACATACATCGCAAACGCACGACCTAGGGAGTTCCGCTTAAAACTTTCAGGGTGGGGGGGGGGGGGGGGCACGTGCCCGGTGTGTCACTCTCTGGCTACGCCCCTGTCTTCAACCACTCTGCATAACAATTCAATTTGGAAAAACTTGTGTTCTGCAGCACTCTTTCAAACTCTATTTAGTTCATGTCTAGTATAGCACGTACGTGGTCGCGGTGTGCGTTTTACGTTTAACTAAAACGTGCACACCGGAGAAGTTGACGTTGGCTTTCCGAGTGGGGAATGGCTTTCTTCGGCTCTACCTTGACCGACTAATAGTATACAAAAAAACAATCCGATTTATTAGCAGCATCCTGTTCAAGTCTAGGCTCACTACGAGGACTTAAGAAAAACTATCAATATTACGCACCACCTCTATATTTACAGCTTCTTGCTTCGCCCAGTACACACAATCTAATACCAGTCTCACATGGGCATTGTTAATCGCAACCAGTGCCGATTCTGATTAACCACGATCCGGATTAGGTGCTGCTACACGGTCACTTTTAATCGCAATCATGCCCAATCGGGATCAAGTCCATCGCCATTCGCGCATCGCGGTATGGCGAAGAGATCGCGATTTGCTGTCTTCTGCATCACCTGGCTGAGCTTGTCAAAGCAAAGGAACAATAACATCAAGCATACTTCTCTAAAAACAGATTTAAGAAGCCAGAAATTTATTTTAAAACTGTTAAAACGAAAACTGGATAAATATGTTGTATATTTCATATTTTAAGATTTCCATTGACCGCATTTGGTTATAAGTGAAGCAGATGATAAGTACGTGACAAGTTCAACTCTCGCACTGCCAGAGCAGTTGGATCCCCTCAAAGCATATTCATTAAAGTGTCGTCAGCTTTTTGACTACGTTGCAAGCGTAGCGCATTTCATAGTCGAAGAGACTTTTACAGCACTTGACCAGTGCAAGGAGCAACTGGGAGACTTGAGCCCCGCCACGGTGGCCTAGTGGCTAAGGTGCTCGGCTTCTGACCCGCAGGTCGCGGGATGAATTCCCGGCTGCGGCGGCTGCCTTTCCAATGTAGGCGGAAATGTTGTAGGCCCGGGTGCTTAGATTTGGGTGCACGTTAGGGAACCCGAAATTGTCAAAATGTCCGGAGCCCTCCACTAAGGCGTCTCTGATATTCATATAATGTTTTGGAACGTTAAACTCCACATATCAATCAACTGCGAGACTTGAGGCTTCAGAAGTTAATTTCTGGCGTGTACAACGACTAGATGGCTACGATCACTGCGTTTCGCTGCGACTAGACGGCTACGATCAGGTGCCATCAGAAATAAAAGTGTAGATTAGTATTATCGATTATCGCACAGCATTACAGGCAAGTTCAATGAAAACTCTACCAACTTATGGATTCATGAAATTACTTTCGTAGTGGCACGCAAAGTTTTTGACGTTCGAGTGGTTTTTTCACGAATTACATATTGCCGATATATGGCGATATTGAAATATTGAACGCTAACGTTCGTCAACGACATCTTTTACAGCACACAATTGCCACCTGGTGAATTTCATCTGACCCAAGCTCAAACCGGGTTAGCTTGGGCCATGCAGCAGTGGCCATAAAGTTCATCGCGATTAATAAAAGTGATCCGTATGACCCTGATTGTGAATAAAATTGCCCATGTGACAGCGGTATAAAAAAAAACGATTTTCAGAGAGTCCAGACGTGCCACGTCATCTTTAAGAGGCACTTGGTGGCTCAGAGCCGGTGAGCTGTAGGAGAAGAGTTCCAACCTTTAAGGACGAGTTCAGAGACTTATGTGAAGCATCACACTACCACTACTACGGGGACGGGATACTCTCGCCTGTAACAACGTCATGTGGGTCAAGTGACACACGCAGAAGCGTCAAGTTACTCTTGAACTACTTTGGGATACTTCATTTGCTCATGCTTTAGTGTGGCGCATTATTGTTCCAAATATTGAAGTATTCAATTGATGGAAGTACAATTATACTTACCCTTGTACCGAGCCGCTGCAAAAAAAGGAATAGTTCAATTTTAGTACTATTTCAATAAATTATCAAGCTAACACAGCATGTTTAGTAGAGTAGTATAGAAGGTAGGATAAGATGGCCTAAGATTTCAAATGAAGTTTTTGAGGAATACTTTTTTACGCTTTTCCCGTTGAAACAACGTCCACCATAGGAATGTTGGATTCCATCATCCACCATTTTGGTGGATTATAGTGCTGGAAATGTTGGATGCACATAGTGTATGGTGGCGTATGGTGGAGGGGATGGTGGATGGCGTGCTCCAGCCGGCAGTGCTGGAGCGCGAAGCAGCGTCAGAACCACCACGAGAAGCTGCCACTAAAGAAATATTAAATATAATTGCATAAAAACGATGTAAAAGCACCCGTAAAAAAGAAAAATCATGCTGTATATTTCGTATCTTTGAAATCAGTATATTCACCATTAACAGCCGCACGGTGTGTGTGTTCACAGCTGCATGAATATTGCACCCCCAAGCATGTCTTTGGGCACGAAACATCACCAAACTATGACCTCAGAGATCGTGCGATTTTCTCCGGTCGTTTTCACTGACAAGAAATGTATGGTGCCTCGCGCGTCCGGCTCCCGTTAGAGGGTGCGTTAAATGTGGATTAAAACAGCAGAAACCACAACAAAAAGCAGAGTGCATGCCATACGAGCGTGCGCATTGGTTTTCCCACGCATGCAAGCAATATTCAGTGCCTGGATCTTCAGGATTCACTGTAGGCAGGTTCTTGATTTGTGTTACTAAATTTATTATGGTACCAATAAAAAGGAGAGCGCAGCAACTGCTCAATTTGTTTGTGATACATCACTATAAGAGCGCAACAATTCATCTCTGGTAGCAATACTTTTTCCCCATACAGTCCACGTTATGTCAGCGCGAATTACCTACATTTAAGAAGTTGAAGGCTGTTTTGTCATCCTTTTTTTCTCGAAACGTAAATGGCCAGAAAAAGGGCTAATTTTAGTCAGTGAATCATTTTGTCCTCCTTTCGTTATGAATTGTTCTAATACTTATCGAGTAAAATATTTAAAAGGTGTTCAACCCAACCATTTTCGCGCTTTATATAGAAGTACTCAAGGTAACTCAGTGCCCACATCATGTCGTTGAAGGTGGGTAATAAGTTATTTTTCTAGTACATATACTGGCAAAACTGTTACACGCTTTCATGCAGCCGGCGTACATTTACTTCACACGTAGTTCACAGGAATAGTGCTTGAGTTGTGCCTTTCTCCATTTTCATCGCCTCGATTTCACTTAAATTTAGTTCGCACAATGGCAACATCAATATTGTTGCCAGCATGGGTTCATCGTAAGGTTCGAAAACAGGTCGGCTTGAAAGACTGCTGTTTATTGCAGATTGTGTTCTCAACAAACACAAAAAACGTCGTTTTTGTTTTTCGCCTCCGCTGTATAATTTATATTTAGTATTTTCTCGACTGCATTCCAAGCGTCGCACGTCCCAGAAGAGTGTCCTTCTGAAACAAATCTAAGTATTCATCACTGAAGACAAATGACAAAAAAGCGAACACGTGCAGTCTAGCGACTATGTAACGCGCAAAGGTTTATATCAGACACATCAAATTTTGAACGTGAGTTGGATATTTTCAGAAAAAGCTAAAGATTTCAATGCTTGTTTTTACAACGTTGAACGCAACTATTAAACACTACAATACTTGCAATGCAAATGGAGTACCAAAAATAAATAAAGTGGGCTGTAACCTTTCCGGAGCCGTCTCAGCACCAGCGGGGTTGAGCCAAGACATAAGGCGACCGCCTCCATACTCCTCCCTGTCTCCTGCTTCGGTACGACAGTGATAGTTAGAAAACAAAACTGCGAAGCTTCACGGGCGACTGCGAAATCTTGCGCGCTATGAGAGCACATCTTTCGTGCCAGACCAAGTTGCACCAGCGACCTCGCGAGCAGAAAGCATGCAAAGTGCTGCAAGGTGTCAAGTTCCCATTGTGACCAGCTCAACGTTCATCTACAGCATCCGCTCGACCTTGCTGTTTTGTAACTCACTCATACTGCAGTATGTGCGTGGTTACCTCGAGTGGATGCATCGCTCGCTTTCTGCAAAAAGGAGAGCCAATTTCGGGCATCGTCACAGTCCGCACATCATGTTACATGCAAATCTGTTTGCGTGCTGGTTGTATCATGAATATTACTAGGGCTTTATATATGAACACTTTTTGGAGCTTCGACAAGTTCAGTTTCTATATCGGTGGTCTTCCCGCATAGTGGTCTTCCCATTCCCTAGTATTCATTTCACCCCTCGTACACCTTCGCCTGACATTTCCAAATCAGTGGGAGGTCGTTCAGAAGCACAAAACCATTTTTCTCTGACCTCATGCAAAGCAGTGCCAACACTATGGCAGCCTTTCCAACCCGATGAGGTGAGTTTCCTGGTGCGGAGGTGAAGCGGGCCTAAGGCTACCTCAAAAAATTACGCTCTCTATGTGATTGCAACATTCGGATACAAATACACCGGCATGCTAACCGCAGCCACGGATGTGCCTGCTTTTTCGAGCCCAAAACTACGGAACGCGCAACGCCTACCAAGAGACAGGGAGACTGGACAGAAGGCGCCGTCGCCGCTGACCACTGTAAAGACAACGGCCATCCACGGTGCCAAATCACAGAGCAAATACGAATGGCGCCAAACGCGAGCCACGTCTTGCGATGTATATGGCGGTGTTTTCATCACGCAAGACAATGAAAATGCCCTTCACGACAGTGAATGGATTCTTGCGTCAACTACCTTTTTCTGCTTCTATCTTCGAAAAAGGCTCGAACGAATCCCTAACAAACAAGGGCGCCAATGCTCTCTTCTGGTTCTTTTTATTGATGAATTTTAATGGCAGATCACGAGCGCTGGGCCGGATTTCTAATGAAGCGCGCAAATGCGAGCGGGATCGCTCTCGCCAAATCTGCGATTGGAACGTGCGCGTCTCGGCGGGAGCTGTTGGTGAGCGGAAATCTAGCGAAGGACCACGAGAGGGTGCAAGAGAGTGCAAAGCGTTTTCCGAACATCCCTCAATGATTGGATGAAAGGTGGCCGCACTGGATACGTCGCTTGAACTTCTGGTCAAATCCGCCGATTTCGGTGGAGCAAGAATTCTTGTTCCGTGGAGCAACCCGTGAACTGTGGTTGCTCTCAATCTGCCATTGGAACACACAATTCACGCTCGCAATCTGCCATTGCAATGTGATTGCTCCACTCAGAGCAAAAAAAAAAAAACTTGATCTTGTTCTGCCATTGGAATTCAACATAAGAGTGTGCGATGCTGCACCTAGCCAGGGCAGCGCAGTAACCTCTCTGGGGCGTGCTCTCCTCAGCTTCTCCTTCATTTTCAGCTGCATTAACCGAACACGTGTGCCGGGAGCACGCTCTGCTGCTGCGCCGATTTTCCATTGTGGTATGCAATAACTCAAATGGACGACAGTGAGAACCAAGACAGAAAGTATTTTCGGAAGAGAGAGAGAGAGAGAGAAACAGAAAGAGATAAAAAATGCACAAATAGAATGAACTGGAAGTACAAGAAAAAATAGGAAAGGACAGAGACTGAAATAAAGAGTGGCATTTCTACAAAAAAAACAATGACAGACACCGAGATAAACAAACCGAGACAGAAATGGAAACAAAAAAAGAGAGAAAAAGGAAGAAATTGAGAAAAAATAATGAGCGGTGCGCATAGACAGAGAAAAGAGCGACGAGGTAGAGATACTGAAACAGAGAAAAAAGAAAAATGAAAAATAAACACACGGTCCCTTACACATTCACCTAATATCACTTCAAAGCGAAGGCTGCATTGTTCCCAGTCGATGAGTTATGGGTCTTGCCGCGAAAACGTTCCGCACCTAGCACCGTTTTTACTGCCTCCAAGATTGGAGGCACCACACAGGGCTTTGCATTGACTCCGCTATCAATGCACCTTCGACCAAGATACGGCATCACGTGATAACGTGATCATGTGATTAATGAGGGCGTAATATTATCTTGCAAATTTTCGTTGTATAAGACGTCAAGACGATGTCTGATGGCGACGCCATCACGTGACGATTCTTAGAATCAGTTGTCTCTGGCACGCCGACTCCAAAGTCGATGGTCAAACTTCGCTTTTGATAAAGCACGTCAGTCATGTCAGGCCACCCAGATGCGCCATTCTTTGAGGCTTAAAGCTGCTAATTAGAAACTGCCTAAGTGGGCAAGGACATTGAATAAAGAAGTTTGCTTATTTTCTTTGGAAAAGCATCCGGATGACATAGTTCAATTCAGTCGCGGCGGATCTGTTCCCACTCTAATCTGATTGTGCCTCGCTGACCATACTCGACGTTATGAAACGGAGCAAAACGATGTGAAACACTTTAATCTCACACTGAAAACAGCTTTTGTACTTTGTGTCTGCGAACAAGATATACGTGAAGCCCTCTTTATTTGGTCATTTTTATGTCGCATCAGTTACCATATCACGTTAAATTCATCTACCAAAGCAGTGCTTTCCTTGATCACCCGGCGCAGTTTTTGCGAAGCTTGGCTGCCGTTTTCAATGGCTTGTGCACAATTCTAGCCGCAGCGTTCGTATTTTTGAAACATGTAAACATTGGAGAGGCCTGCGTACTTACATTCTATTGCCCTTCGGCGTCCCAATCCTGTTGCGGTTTCGCTACGAAAAATTTCAACAATTCTTATTGTTACTGGATTACGTGTTCTATCTTTTCGGGATTAGAAAAAAACCTAATCATGCATTATGACGCGTCGATAGAAAGAGTTTGACATGGTATAACGAGCTTCTGCAATGTTCATCATCATCATCATCATCATCATCATCAGCCTGACTATGTCCACTGCAGGACAAAGGCCTCTCCCATGTTCCGCCAGTTAACCCGGTCCTGTGCTTGCTGCTTCCAATTTATACCCGCAAACTTCTTAATCTGGTCTGCCCACCTAACCTTCTATCTCCCCCTAACCCGCTTGCCGTCTCTGGGAATCCAGTTAGTTACCCTTAATGACCCGCGGTTATCCTGACTACGCGCTACATGCCCGGCCCATGTCCATTTCCTCTTCTTGATTTTAACTATGACATCCTTAACCCCCGTTTGTTCCCGATCCACTCTGCCCTCTTCTTGTCTCCTGAGGTTACGCCTACCATTTTTCTTTCCATTGCATGCTGCGTCGTCCTCATCTTAAGCTGAACCCTCTTTGTAAGTCTCCAGCTTTCTCCTCCACATCTAAGTACCGGCAAGATACAGCTGTTATATACCTTCCTCTTGAGGGTAGTGACAATCTTATTGTCATGATTTGAGAGTGCTTGCCAAATGTGCTCTGCCCCATTCTTATTCTTCTAGTTACTTCAATCTTGTGGTTTGGCTCCGCAGTTATTACCTGCCCTAAGTAGACATAGTCTTTTACAACTGGAAGTGCACTATTAGCTATATCGAAGCGCTGCTTTCTTCCGAGGTTGTTGTGCACTACTTCTCTTTCCTGCAGATTAATTTAAAGACCCACCTTTTTGCTCTCATTGCCTAATTCTGTATTCATCAGTTGCAATTCATCCCCTGAGTTACTCAGCAATGCAATGTCATCGGCGAAACGCAGGTTACTAAGGTACTCTTCATTAACTCTTATTCTTAACTGCTTGTTTCTTTGGTTATTGAACTCTAATGTTTTCTTAACTCTGTTAACAGTCACCTTAGTAAATGGCTTAGATACTACGAAGAGCAAGCTGATCGGCCTGTAAGTATTCAAGTCCTTGTCATCTCCTTTGTTATGTATTAAGATGATGTTAGCATTCTTCCAAGACACTGGTACTCTTCCCGCCAGAAGACACCTCGTAAACAGTGTGACCAGTTTTCCTAAGCCATCTGTCCTCCATCTTTCAGCAGATCTGATGTTACCTGATCCTCACCAGCAGCTTTGCTCTTTGCATGCTGTCTAAGGCTTTTTTACTTCTATTATTACTGGTGGGGTGTCATCTAGTTTATTGCTAGTTCTTATAGTATTAAGGTCGTGGTTGTCCCGCCCAGTGTACAGATCTCTGTAGGACTCCTCCGCTATTTTAACTATCCTATCCCATATTGGTAGTTATTTTGCCTTCTTTGTCCCTTAGTGCATACATTCGATTTTCGCCTATCCCAAGTTTTCTCTTCACTTCTTTGACACTTCCTCCGTTTTTTTTCAGAGCGTGTTCAATTCTCTCCATGTTATACCTTCTTACATCGGATACTTTTCACTTATTATTCAACTTCGAAAGCTCTGCCAGTTCTATTTTGTCTGTTGTACTTGAGACTTTCATGCTTTGATGATTCTTAATGAGATTCTTTGTTTCCTGGGAAAGCTTGCCAGTGCCCTGTCTAACTACCGTGCTTCGAATTCCCACAGCACACTCGGTAATCGTACTCGTCAAATTATCAATCATTGTGTCTACGCTAAGGTTGGTTTCCTCATTAAGAGGTCAGTACCTGTTCTGAAGCGAGACTTTGAATTCCTCTACTTTCCCTTTCAGTGCTGGCTCATTGATTGGCTTCTTGCATATCAGTTTCTGCCGTGTCTTCTTCAAGTCCAGGTGAACTTGAGACCGTACCATTTTATGATCATTGCATTGTATCTTGCCAACCACTTCCACATCTTGCACGATGCCAAGGTGTGCACTCATTATAAAGTATATTTCGTTCTTATTTTCACCATTAGGGCTCTTCCATGTCCACTTACTGTTTTCTCGTTTTCGGTAGAAGGTATTCAAAATTCGTAAATTATTGCACTCCTCGAATTCTACTAGTAGCTTTCCTTTGGAATTTCCAGTACCGATGCCATTATCTCCTACTGCCTGGTCTATAGCCTGCTTCTTCCCTACCTTTGCATTAAAAGCTCCCATAAGTATAGTATACTGCGTTTTTACCTTACTCGTTGCCGATTCCACATCTTCATAGAAGCTTTCAACTGAAGCATCATCATGGCGGGATGTAGGTACGTAAGCCTGTACCACCTTCATCTTGTATCTCTTATTGAGTTTAATTACGGTACCTACCACCCTTTAATTATTTATATAGTATTCCTCTATACTGCCAGCTATGTTCGTGTTAATTTGGAACCCCACTCCCAATTCTCTTCTATCAGCCAAGCCCCGATAGCAAAGAACGTGCCCATTTTGTAACACCGTTTAGGCCTCCTCTGTCCTCTTAACCTCACTGAGCCCTATTATATCCCATTTAACACCCTTTATCTCCTCCAATAGCACATCTAGGCTTGCCTCACTAGATAAGGTTTTAGCGTTAAACGTTGCCAAGTTCAGGTTCAGGTTCTGCAATGTTACATGGAGCTTACTATAAATGGCGTGATCCTAATTAAGACTAAAATCGTTCAAACTCTTGACTACAGGCTTACTTATCTTCCATTCACAGAGTATACATGAAAATAAATGGTCAGGACAATAAATAATTGACCTGTACGTAATATCCTTAAAATGTTTATTCAACCGAAAGTGGCTCTCATCAATAAATACGAGATCAAGTGCATAGTTAGGACTATTCCCCTACGTGGTGCACTTCGTGAATCAACTCAAGCGTGACCATACCGTACACAAGGAAGATGTCGAACATACATAAGGGAGGAATGCTTGACCTTCCATTAATAGATCGCCGTTAGAATGTTTTAATCATTACTATTTCGCACTTCACCTACCCTGGCATATATATGTCCACCTAATGTGGGAATACAATTGGAGATTTAGGTAGTTCAGACACAGTTCCGAATGCCACTAGGTCACCTAAATGTTCAGATTTATTGATAACTGCAGAATTTCTGATCTGCGGCCTGTAAATTCTGTATAGTCCTTGTAGTCTTGTTTTAGAATATGTTCTTGCCCCGCCGCGGTGGTCCAGTAGCTAAGGTACCAGGCTGCTGACCCGCAGTTCGCGGGATAGAATTCTGGCGGCAGCGACTGCATTTTCGATAGAGGCGAAAATGCTGTAGGTCCATGTGCTCAGATTTCGGTGCACGTTGAAGAACCACAGGAGGTCGAAGTTTCCGGAGCCCTCCACTACGGCGTCTCTCATAGTCCTCTGGTGGTTTTGGGTAGTTAAACCCCACGTATCAATCCATCAATTCCAGTATTTTCTTTCATATTAGTATGATATTCGTCTGCCTTTAGTCGGCGCCACTACTTTGTAATGTTCGCTTTAGACAAGTGTTGCTGCCTTGTTCTAATGCTGAGTCAGGATGCGCTTTTTTGAACCAGATTTTATGTCCAAGAAGGCCGCATGTTTTTTTTTTCTTTTTACAGCTGCTTGTTTGAAACGTATGCAGGTGATTTCTTGATCCAGTGATGTTTTGCATGCATTAGTCACGTAAAATAAATGCATTGAACATAAAAGAACATCTACATAACGCATTTATTTTCAAATATACTTACGCAAGTTCAAAACAAGCGTAAGCTTTTCTTTGTATAATTTCACTCCGTATTGAATCACCCGCTAAATATATACCTATTCTTTCTCAGGTGCGCTCATTGAAGTGAGTACTCACCAGCAAATACTTGCACCAGGCCACAATTCCTGTCTGTGCTCATATAGTACAAACGCTCTGCATATACACCACTTTTATCTGTTTGAAAAGTACAATAAAAATAAATGCGGTACAATCCCACTGTGCTAAGCAGAATTCAACTTCTGTCGGGAAGCACACTTCTGAGATAAAGAGGAATGCTTACTGCAAAGCCGCGCCAACAGCCAAAAAACACGCCTTCGTATAACAATGTTCATTAAAATGTCTTGGTATTCATGTCTTATTTTCATTTCAAACAGTAACAAACAGCTTCTGGCACTCCCCAGCGCAGTGGCCCCTGTTTTTGTTATATCCTACGAATTCACTTGGATAAGCATACAAATTGAAAGAGCATCCATTCGCTAAGCGTGCTATTTAAGGTTGCCAGTACTACTTCACCAAGTTTTAGTACGCTTCCAATTTTGCTGAATAAAAAAATCTAATAAGAGTTTTTGAACGATGTATATATTCAGAATTTCTGTATGAAATTGTATTGCATACAAAAGAGAGAGTACATAACAAACTAAACTTCCCATAGTTAAGTATAAAAGGTTACCTCAAACGGGGTGTCCTTAGAACCAACTTTCCGACAAAGTTGCCTGATTTGTAAAGTTAGCGACATTGATAGTGCAATGTTTTGTCTTTTTTTCGTTGCCCTTTTTGTATGAGCTAAAAGGCGCCCGATCTTTCAGCATTGAAAAAAAACACATTTTATGCGCCAAAGATTGGCAGGAACAAGATCATTTTAAACCTTCAACATCGCAAGTAGGGGCAAAATATACTTGCGGATAAATAAAAACAACTGCAAACGAACACATGTTCAAACTTTATCTACGACATGCAAAAAAAACAATGTTCTTATTAATAACCGCACAAAGACCTAAAGAATTCCACATAAACATGCATTCGTCCTTTATTCCGCATGGTCAGCCGAACGCAGTCTCTGCGTCTTTTCTGTAGCATGCAGTGCAAACTGCCGAATCAACCAACTTCTCTGTGCCGTTCTTTTAGGGGTGAAGCTCCTTAAAGCGATACCCTTTCGTCTCTCGTCGTAGTAGGTAACATGTCTTACATTTTGACCTCCAAGGTGGTGCAGGTGAAAAACTTCTTCTGTTCGTTGTTGAACAATAAAACATTCGCAGCGTGTGCGATATCTAAAAGCCGAATTCTTCTGTCCCTCATTCCCCCTGAGTAGCCATTGGCATGTACATTGAGCACTATCTGACAAGAAAGGGTTGCTACGTTATACTCGCTGTGCGCAACCTCCTTGGTTTTAGAAAGGTTTAGCGAGCGTTGGGCCTTAGTGCCATGTATACAGTGAACTAGTATATACCATGAACTCGAGGTGGTTAAAGGTGGGAAGTAGACACTAAGCGCAAGCCGTAAGAAAGTGTGCGTGTGCTTCCTCTCGTTCAGTCCTTGGAATGTCCGCTAGATGGTGGTGCTTCTGTATGCGGAATATATGATGAAAAGATGCGAGATGGTGGTACTTGGAGTGTTGGATAGATGGACGAACGGACACACAGACAGATGTATGGACGGACGCACGGACGGCTACACGGACGGATGGACGCATCGACGGACGCAGGGGCTGATGCATGGACGAACGCAGGGACGGACACACGGATGGACGTGTGGATGCACGAACACACGCACGCACGGACGTGTGGATGGACGCATGGACGGTCACACAGACGCACCCATGGATGGATGGAAGCAAGAACGAATGGACGGATGAATGCTTCGCCCCACTCTCCATCATTCACCCCGTGGACATTCTGCCATTTTTTTTTTCTCACGACTGAGAAGAGTAGGGCCGAGCCAGATGGACAGACTGCGAATATGCCAGATAGGATTGGTTTCTACTTTTGGCTAGGTCGAATCTGATAGATCCAATTTATTCTTGGGTGCTGAACGCCTTATAGAGGAAATCCCTACCAAAACAAATGTCATCTGCACATTACTTTACTATACAGCTTTTTATTTTAATTATTACTCTTGGCGGTCCTGCGGGGCTTTCCGTTCGTGAACCACTCGCGCAATGTCAGTGCAAGAACGTATCAAGGCTGGCCCGGGCCACTTCATCGCTTCTAGTCGTTTCTCTTTTATTGCAGTGTGAAATATATGTAGAATCTCGGCCGATTTCTGCCGTAACCGCCACCGCCATATTCCTTACGTTCATGTGTTTTATATATAAATACCAGCCATAAAGGAAAATTACTGACAAGACAGGAATTCGAAACTGCCCTCAATGCAAGGATAGATTTTAAAAAACCTTCTTACAGAGAACGCGCACTAAAAAAATTGGCCTCGAATCTGCATGTTACACTGCAAATATAGTTGAATAACTATAGTCTTGCGTCTGGAGGGAGTGAACAAAACGTTTATTAGATATTCTGCTCAAGAAAATTGGTGAATGGGAGTCTGGAGGTGGTGCGTTAGAGAGTCTCATTCCGTGCATTGAAGGCAAACCAGCGCACCTTGTTAAAACCTAGGAGGTTACGCTCAGCGAGTTTAACATGGCAACCTTTTCTGGTCAGATAGCACTCAAAGTGCATTCGTTTGATACTATTTTTTAGTAAGCATCAAATTTGAGACAAATTTTATTGGAGTTTACGTCACTGATACTCGTCCCTGTCGGTTACTACATCAGAAACAACTATTTTTTTAATTATACTTAACGTGCCCGGGCTCCCTTCTCAATTCAAATGAGTGCGTGCGTGCCGCTCAAGTGCGGCCATTGAGGTGGCTACCTACTACTACGACGCACTACTACTATATAAATCGCCTACGCACGCACACCTCCAACTGTTTGCGGCTGCATGGGGCGGCAAGACGTGAACATTATGCAAAGTATGCAGTATAGCAAAGCATTTCTGTGTCATGCGCTTCTCATTTTGTGATTTTTATATTCTCAGCCTCTGTCTTGTCTTTGAATAAAAACATTGTGGACACTCTGGTCCTTTTTCTTTGATTAATGCATAGATTGACCACTTGTTTCAAAAGGAAAACAAGAGCGTTGAATAAAGCCCTAGTGAATTCTGACAACCTGCATCTTTTTCTATCATAACCAAGTCAAAATAAACAATACGTCATGGCCTTCATTCTCACGAACAATTTCGAGCTAGCAAAAATAAGAAATTGCTAAATCAAAATAACAAACAACCCTTCCATTTGGGCGGAGTGAAGTGGCTTGAAATCAACCGACGTTCGCCATAGCCGAATGTCGGTTGCGTAGAGTAATCCGAAATTCCCGCCAGTGAAACCAAAACGGGAAGCGCAGGCCAGTTGCTCTAGCCAACTACCAGGTGCGCAAGGGTCGATTGTGCCGCCAGGGTCTATGGGAGTGTCCACTCTTAACTTCTTTTTATTTATGCTCGTGGTTCCATCTGTATCAGTTGATGGGGTACTGCCCCAATCTATGTCATGCATGTGGTTGTTTTAAATGCGAAGCATTTCTTAGTGAACTTCCGCGAATTTAAGCGTATATTTCTGTCTATTTATCTAGCCGCCTTCAACTTTTAGCTCTCCTGGTTGTCTTGACAATGGTATCGATACCAAAATTGGTATGGCTTGCATGACTGTATGAAGAGCATAAGTGACCAACTGTACCATGAAAATTATGACATGTAGTACACGGATGTCATCATTTACATTTCATGTTCTTACTGCTCTTCCGGTGGTTTTGTTCACAAGACATTTTGAGAAACTGATAAGGTATGACATAACTGCAAGGCAAACATATGTGACAAAACGTAACGCGGAAATTATGACATGCATGTCATGATTTTTATGTTATGACTAGTCATGACTACACGCCACGCTCATGGTTCACTCGCGGTCGTTCCGGAAGCTTCGCATACACCGAATTGGGTATTACGGGACGTGAATAAATGATGAAGGTATCACTGGAGCGAGCTTGATTATATAATCATGAGATCCGTGTTATGGAAGAACATGACTACATGCTATGCTTATGATAGGCTCACGATCGTTTCACTAGCTTCACATATACCGAATTCAATGTGATGGGACGTCAATGGACGACAAAGGTAAGTGACGCGTGCAAACATAATAATCATGACATGAATTTCACGCAAGAACATGACAACAGAGTGGGCTCGGCAGCAGCACGACGGGCAAGATGCTCAACAATCCATTTCTTTGTACGCTGCAGGTTCTTGCTTCACTTTTTGTGTCGCAATTTTCGGAGCATGGCTGTGCTTTGGATCCTTTACCGCTTCCTTCGTCCAGCGTTGTCGACTGCAGAGCATCAACGGAGGCTTATCAAGTGGCCTGCGACCGGTGTGAAGCGGAGGAATTCATCATGCCGGTTGCGGTATCTTCTGCGCCGGCGCCTGCCTCAGGAACGGACTACCACGTGGTCCTACCAGCTCGTATAAATTGCCTCACGTCAGCCATCCCCTCCAGTGGGCTCGGCAGCAGCACGACGGGCAAGATGCTCAACAATCCATTTCTTTGTACGCTGCAGGTTCTTGCTTCACTTTTTGTGTCGCAATTTTCGGAGCATGGCTGTGCTTTGGATCCTTTACCGCTTCCTTCGTCCAGCGTTGTCGACTGCAGAGCCTCAACGGAGGCTTATCAAGTGGCCTGCGACCGGTGTGAAGCGGAGGAATTCATCATGCTGGTTGCGGTATCTTCTGCGCCGGCGCCTGCCTCAGGAACGGACTACCACGTGGTCCTACCAGCTCGTATAAATTGCCTCACGTAGCCATCCCCTCCAGTGGGCTCGGCAGCAGCACGACGGGCAAGATGCTCAACAATCCATTTCTTTGTACGCTGCAGCTTAGTCCCTATTCTTATGGAAAATGTTATCGTAGCGATGACCGTTTTTTGTTTCTGCTGCCGTGCCCACTGTGTGTTCTCAATTTACATTTCGATGTGTGCACTTTTGCTAAGAACTTGTTGATTTGCGGAGACGTTGAATCAAACCCTGGCCCCGGCGAGAAGGAAATGTTGGCTAAACTTCTTTCTGGTCAAACTGCTATGACAGCATCTATCAATGAAATTCTGAGTAAGCAAACGAAACTTGAGGCAGA